CTGTGTCTACTGAGACCGTGAACATAGCCCATTTAGAATAGCCATGGATCTCGGACAGCAGAAATCAGTTGAGACATGGTGCCCATGCCCCCTTTCAGAATGAAGGACATCCTCTACATCCTGCCTCCCTGGCTGCTGGGAGTACCCCCAAGATGTCCTACCATACACCCCTCTCAAATTTCTTCAGCAGAAGAAATCCCAGGTCACACAAGCTTCCTAGATGGAATACATTCATGGATGGCTCCTGTGGATATAGAGGTGACCTTTATCCTACCTGGGACAAGGAGGGACCTCCCCATTCCTGATGTCATCATAGGCCAGAGTCCCCTCTAGCCACCCGAGTCAAGGGCTCTTCCTAATAAGCCTCTTGTACCCCTAGTAGAGTTGCTTCCCTATGCAGTAACTATTCGCATCCTCCCATCCTAGTTGTGTTTTAAAAAGGAATTCATCTTGGACATGAGATGGTTACAAAGCTAAAGGCCAGATACACTCAGGTCCTGTGGCTCCCCAATCCCCTTCTCTTATTCTTAGAGAAGAAACTGCCATGGTCAGATGCTTGGTGGGTGGAAAGACAACCCCCAGGCACCTCTGCCCCCTTGGGGTGGTCCCTGAACCAAGAGGAAGATCTGCTTTATTTAGGGGTAAGTTGAGAGCACCCCACATTGCATAGCTCCACTGGGAGGCAGACTCTAAACTCTCATCCCCTGGATTCTCTCCCATGGCACTAGTGCTACCAGGCTGGTCCTTTAGTGGACAGAAGTCAACAGCCATTTGGATAGGCCTCAGGATCATCTCTTCTCTGACCACAGGGAGCAAGGAACAGATGGTGACAACCAGAGGGTAGAGTGGCAGCCGACTTGACCTCTGCCTCCTAATGGTGAGAATGGCCTGAGTGAGCCCAGCACATAGGCTTCAGAAGGCCAAGTCCATGCCTAGTCTCCCTCAGCTACTGTGGCTCCTGACACACAGTTGAAGTCCATGTTCCTGGGACTAGCCCCGGCTAGGTATGCAATGGGGCGGGCAAGGAGCTTGAGGTATTCAACCATGCTGTGACAACACCTGGAGCTCACCGCCAGGTTGGGCTCTTTAAGATAAGAGCTAGAGGCAGTGTGAGGAGACAGAAGTCCTCACCTTCTGCTGCCCTTTCCCCTTCACAAGATAAGGAAGGCAGGAAGCTGAGGCAGCGAAGGTGAGGTGACAGTGCCAGCTTTGCTTTCCTGAGCTTATCACCCGATTCCAAGGCATGCTGCACCATGCCTGGGGTGTGGGAATGGTATTGGCAGACAGGACTCAAGGTTCTGCTCTGATCTGAAAGTTTTTCTCACTTTCCTAAATGCTCTGAATGCAGGCACTACCCCAGGGCTAGCACTCATCCCAAGAGAAACTTCTGGACTGTTTTGAAGTTGGAAAACAGGCAAAATTCCTATCTGCACAGAAGCAGCAGACACCGCCATCATACCTCTAGGCCGGCTTCACGGCACTGCAGCCGGTGCACTCTGTGTGGCCCCCTGCTCAAAGGCTGTGCAACCTGGGCACTCTGTGGTCCCCACTCAAAGGCTCTGCAGACCGTGAACTCTGTGTGGCCCCCACTCAAAGGCTCCTACCACATTTCAACACTTTGCGGTTGCCTGGAGATTCATCATCAGACCTGTCCCCATTCAGAGATTCTACAAATCATAGTTGTATGATTTGTACATGGCATCTACTATAGGGGTTTTCACCTCTGGCAGGAGAGCTGGATGCTAAATACATGAGGCTCTGCCCTCTCTGCTGCCCCCAGTGCCCACTAGATATCTGGGCTCATTAGGGCCAGTAAAGATGTCCTGAAGCCGCTGAGACAGTCTTACATCTCTTAACAATTTTTATACTCCTATTCACAGAAGGCACACAGCCCAATCTCAGCACCCTCGGCTGTCTGGTCTTCCTCTCCTTTGAAAAGGAAGTGCTGCACCCTAATCCTCATAAGTAAGGTAGGATGGTCCCAGGCATGTCCTCTGAGGCGGAATCTCACCCCACCCTGGTCCAGTCATATGACACAAGTCATTGGCTTTCCCAGAGCCCTTAAGAGTACAAATCTGTCCCTGCTCTGCTGTGAGGGTTGAAGAGATGATGAGGTAGAAGGCCCAGGGCTTGGCACTGAGCATGCCTAAAACATTTTCTTCCACCCATATTCAAACAGGAAAGCCATGGGCTGAGGAGACAGCTCAGTGGGTAAAACACTTACTATGCAAGCACAAAGACTGGAGTTGGGATCCCATCACCCACATAAAACATCATCATGGATGGGTGTGGTGTCTCTCTGTGAGCTGGATGGGGAGAAGAGGGAAGAGCCCCAAGGCAAGCTGGCTAGTTTAACTGGGTTAGTGAGAGACCCCTTCCACAGCGAATAAAAAATAAAACAGAGTGATTCCAAGACACCTGCCATCAACCTCTAGCTTCTCAGCTTCTCTCCATGTCCTACAAACATACATGCGCACGCACGCACGCGCGCGCGCACACACACACACACACACACACACGGGGGGGGGGCGGGGGGGGGGCTTAGAAAACAATTCATTGTGCTCCGGGTCCTGGATTTGATCCCAGACCCTGACATAACTAAGAAAAGGACAGTCACCATGACATGGCCCAGCAACCTCCTAGGACTGTTGCGTTCTGACACTGACTGCTGGGAACCACATTCAGATGGGATCACTCACCCAGAAAAACCTGTTCCCATCTGGGCACACAAAGAGAGTCTGGAATCAGTAGCCTCAGGCTGGAAGCTTAGTGGGGACTTGGAATCTCCCTCCCCTGGGCCTTGGTATCTCAACTACAAAATGGTAAAAATAACAATCCTAAGAGCTCACACTTATGCACACTTACACTTGCCAAACAACACTACTAAAGTAAGTGCTTGCCCTGGTAGGGTTGTTTCTTTTTTTTTTTTTTTTGGGGGGGGGTGTCAACTTGACACAAGTTCGAGTCACCTAAGAACAACCTCAGTTGGGAAAATGCCTCCATCAGGTGCCTGTAGGCAAGTCTGGGCATCTTCTTGACTAATGATTGGTGTGGAGTGCCAAGCTCACTGACGGCAGTATCACCCCTCAGCAGCTGGACTAAGAAAGCAGTCTAAGGGAGCCATGAGAAAGAAGCCAGTCATCAGTGCTCCTCCCTGGTCTCTGCTTTGGTTTGTGCCCTGAGTTCCTTTGATGACAGACTGATGTGGAAATGTAAGTTGAAATAAACCCTTTCCTCTCTATGGTGCTTTTGGACATGGTGTTTTATCACAGGCCTAAAAAAAAAAAAAATCCCAAGACACTGCTGTTTTACTTTCACTTCATAAATGAACACACAGAAGAGGCATGAAAATGTGCGGTAATTTCTTCCAAGTCACAACAACTCTGCGACTCCCGAGATGGCTGTGGAGGTCGAATTATGAGAGACGTACAAGGGCATTATGCTTTGGCTCCACATTTAAAACAAGTATGCATCTGTTTGAGTGTCTGTGTGTCAATAATATGCATATACATACAGATGCCAATGGAGGCTATAGGGGTTATAGGTGGTCATCAGCAACCTGATGTGGGTGCTGGGAACCGAACTGTTCTCTGAAACAGCAGCAAGTTCCTCTTAACTGTCTCCCCAGCTCCTCTACATTTACTTTCTGCAGACAGAATCTCTCTATGTTGCCCAGGTTGACTCTCCTCTCTCAGCATTCCGAGTAAAGGAGACTACAAGTCTGTGACCACCAAGCCCAGCGTGGCACTTAAGCATCTGTAGCACCACAGAGACATTGCTGATGATGACAGACAATAATAATAAATCGTACATCACAGGCACACCTTCCTCCTTTCCCTCACCTCTCCAGCTCTGTCTCCACACCTCTCTCCTCTACCCTGCCCTATCTCAACTTTCCATTCTGGAGAATGCCACTGAAAGCTGGGTTACCAGGCATACTAGGGAAGGAAGTGCAGTTCTCTCCCCAGCCCCCCTTCATTCCTCCCTCCCTTTCACTCCACTGCTTGCCCCAGACAGGAAAGAGAAGCAGTCGCTCTGGGTAACTGCTTCTAATCACAGGTGACAGCAGGAATGTAAACAACGGGAGAAACATCTAAATGCAAGGAAACAGCTCTCTGGGTTGACTCGGGGCTCTTTCCCTGGAGAACCCCCCACTCTTTCCTGTCGCCCCTCTTCGGAAGCACTGCTCATTAACACCCTGCTAATAGGAACCCCAGAAACAAGGCACTTCCGGAGCACAGGAACATACAGCATTAAGCCACAACATCCTCTGACTTTTACCTCAGATGTTCTAGATTTTCTCCCATTTTCCTATTAAAATGTTTTCCCATTTTCCTATCCAAATCAACGATTTTAACACATTCTGCTGGCAGGTGTTGCTGGTGAGAGTCCTTTTTGACATTTCTGTTCAACACTAGGAGCCCACTCCTAAGGAAAGCACAGACACTGTGCAAATCATTTCAAAGGTTTGTGAACCCCAGGTTGAGTGAGACCCATTTTCAATAACATAGATTGGCCACGAGGAACAAGCAAGTACAGATATCCCCTAAGTACTGCAATCGCTGTAACCAGCGAACAGAATCAAGACACGGTTTTCCCTCCTCCTCTAGCTCATTCTGTAGGTTGACAGTCTGCTTTCTAGGCTACCTCTTTCACTGCAAACTGACAGTCCGGTTGAGTAATTACTATGAGTAATTTTCACTAGGATCACTGAGTGCTGAGGCTGGCAAGAGGCTAAGAGAGCCAGGATGAGAAAGGTAAGTTGAATGAATGCGTTGGGCATGGCTGCTCAACTCAGCCAGAGTTCCCTCGCCAAGACCTGGACTGGCTGTGCTACTGCATCCCTCTATTATTAATATATAGCCCTTTGACGGATGGTTATGTCCACTTGCTGGATTCTGCACCATCCTCATATCTTTTGCCATTGGGATGGGAGATGAGACGTGCTGAAGACCAGGAAAGAATGAAGGGGCAGTTTTCTTATCCCGGGGCCATCTTACCTCTGTGCCTGTTGGTAGTTTTGTCAAACATCAGCATCGCATCCTCCACCTGCAACACAGAAGACAAGCTGCTTCAGGACTTTTCATGAAACACAGAGAACATTACAAACAGACTGTGTGGGGTGAGGGAGGTGGTCTCCATTACCAACATTACAAACACAGATTGTGTGGTGGTGTGTGGGGGGTTTCCATTACCAAAGAAATAGTTGCTTAAGTAGAGAATATTTGTAAAAGGGGGAAAAAACAACAACAAAAAAAACCAAAACCCTCTACTTGGCATAACCTTAGTTAATATACGATGTAGTTTCCTTTAGAATTTGTGTGTGTGTGTGTGTGGGGGCATTCTATGGGCCCCTGAACTCACAAACAAATACACTGCCCCCCCCCCATATAATAAAAAGAAATCCACACTTCTTTTTTTTGGTTTTTTTTTTTTTTTTGGTTTTTCGCCTCAAACTCACAGAGACCCACCTGCCTCTGCCTCCCGAGTGCTGGGATTAAAGGCGTGCACCACCAACACCTGGCAAATCCACACTTCTTTTAGAATTGTTTATATTGTATTATGTGTGGAACTTTTTGTTGTTGTTCTTTTCTGTTGTACAAACGACATTACTACATAGCAAATCCCACCCGGGTCACTACATCATGACAGCTGGTCAGTATTCCATGGAGCAAGAGACCCTGGCTTACTTCCCTTCTGATGTATATGTAGCTTATTCAGTCACAAACAACAGACTTAGCATTCTCATCCTGACTGGCCGGACTGGTCTCTCTTACGCTCACTGACTGAAGTCGTAATTCCTAGCATTGTATAGGTGACTTGGTCTTTTAAATTTTTATTTATGTGTATGTACCTGTGTCTGTGTATGTGTGCAATATGTGTGCAGGTGCCTGTGGAAACCAAGAGGGGGGTGTTGGATCCTTAGGAACTGGAGTTACAAGGGGTTTAGAGCTGCCTAACATGGGTGCTGGGGAATCTGCCTTGGGTCCTCTGTGAAAGCATTAAGTGCTCTTAGTCGGCAAACCATCTCTCCACCCAAGACTGGATCTTTAAAGCAGCGACAAAATAAAGATGAGGTCATTAGGGTGGGCCTAATAAGATGAATGGTGTCTCACAGACACACAGGACTGGGAAACCACAGGCCAACAGGGCCTCAGGAGAAACCAACCCTGCCTCACCTCAATCTTGGACTTCTGGATTCCAGAATCAACAAACATGAGAAAAAACTACTCTGGATGTTGAAACTCTGCAGCTTGTGGTACTTTGCTATGGCAGCCTCAGCACACTGATGCACATGCTAGGGTTCTTCCAAGGCATTCCAGAAAAGGATCCTGGGCGGTTGTCTTTCTTCTCTCGTACCCTGCAACTCTTGTACATTTCTAGCAGCAGGATGCCACACGGATCTTAAGAAACATCTGACGAACTAGATACGGCTTCAGAACCCACTCCTCTTATTTGTAGATCTAATCCTTCAGGCCATAAGACACATCTTTATCCCCGAGAACACTTGTTTCACCGGGGTGAAGTGGCTGCTCTCTTCATACAGTTTGCACCTAACATTGGAGGCAGAAATGCAACCCAAGCCACACGGCTACACAAACTGATAGCCAGAAAACTGTGCTTGGAGCAGTCTGGGTGTGTCTATGTGGCTGCAAAGATCTCACTCAGCACTCTCTTGTGCTCAAAAGCTCACAAGCAAGCTTGGGGGGGGGGATGTTTAGCTAAGGCACCCGAAGAGGAATCCCAGGCTATTCATTTCTCACTCCTCCTGGGTGAAACAATGAAATGAGGTTTAAAACAGTGCCTCTGGACAAACTGAATATATTTTTCTAAACCCTATCACATACAATAGCGGGAAGGGCGAAGTCCAGGCAAGAATGGGAGAGGTGCGCAAGGCAGTCTGGAAGAGCTCTGCCTCACTCAAAAATCCCTTCTGGAGGCAGGGCCCCCCCTTGTTGCTAAGCAACCCCAGGCTGAACAAACAGGCTCCTGGGGCCTTCCCCTTCTGGTGCCCCCACCCCTGCAGTCATTTGCTATGGGGAGGGTAGCCTTGCCTGGTGACTCCTCCAGCAGGGAGCTGCCCCCACTTTCTCCCAGGCACCAGCTGGCAGGAGAGGTAATGCTAGTTGGAGATCACTTAAACAGGGAGGACCTCCTTCCCTGGGCTGTTCCTGGACCCCATGCCTTGGCAGGCTTCATGAGTCCCCCAGACACCTGCTGAGGCCATACGCCTCCCGTGCACCACCCATGCAAACCGTCATAAGATCAACCCGTGTGTTTGTACACAGAGCAGTCACACTCCAGCATATGGCAGCTCAGACTCAGACCTTGGGATGCCAGAAGACTTCAGATGCCTGGGGTGTGGGTGTGGGTTGGGGGTAAGGCCTGCGGAGAGCGCAGGTAAACGCTGCATCTGCTTCTTTGCACCCATCTCTGCATTTTCTGAGATGTTTGCCAAATCCTGATTTTGAACTGAAAATGCCTAACAGTGAGGAAAACAGCCTTCCTCCTGGGTTGACCATGTTTTGGTACTGAAATTCATATCCCCGTAGGAAATAAATATTTTGAATTATTTTTTAAAAAAAAAAAAAAAACGAGTCTTTCAGCAATTGTAATTGGCTCCCCACTTCTCCTTGCTAAGTTTGCCTGCTTTCTTCTGTAGCCTCCACAGCCTGGTGAGTGTGGGGGAGGATCTGTAAATCTCTGTGTGTGTTAGGGGCAAGCATTGTTGTAGAGAACAGGGCTCTTTCCCCTGCAGTCCAGCTGTACAATGGGACTTTCGGAGACCTCCTGAATAGATAAAGTGTCAGGGTGCAAGAAAAATTCTATTAACACTTTACAAAATACAACATCTAAGAAGTAGCTGAAGAGAAAGAGAAAGGGGGGAGCAATCAATATGGATAAGTCCCAGTGCTGGGGGCTGGGAGGGGGACTTTTCAGTGGTTGCAAAACACTTATTAATTCAGAGAAGCCATCAGTGCTATGGAAATCTGGCAGAACAGCAAGAGCTGAAACCAGGAGAATTTGAATACACAAAGACTGAATAGAATGAAAACCGAGGCTCACATACGGGCCTGTTTCTCACGGTTCTAGGAGAATCAAACAGAAGCGGCTTGTGCAAGTCTCTGTCAAGGAGAAATGAGGGACACAGTTGAGAGGACTGGTGTCGGTGCCAGAGCCAGCTAACTGGTAGCAATCTTGGCCTCTCTGTCCCGAGGGAGCCCCTGTACATAAGTGCGCACCTGAAACTGGCACAAATGAGTTGTGCAGTCATAGGCCTCCAGGGAGGGCTGAGAAGGGATGGGTGTGGCCTTGGGGGCTAGAAGCTGTTGTTTTTTTTTCTGATCTCAGGAAGAAGACATCATTAACCCTGTGAAATACTCCTTGAGGAACATGGTCCTGGACCTTATAATCAACATTTTGTATGGGCAATGTCTTTGTATGTTACCTCACAGATTTCCTTGCTCTGGAGACAGCATCTGCGGGCCTAACTAGTGTTGTGAATCCCTTGAGAGGAGCGGGGAGAAGACTAGGTGTCTCAACCTTAGGTGGCTTTATTCCATGCTCTGGTGTGAGCCTAGTCTGTTTGGGAAAAAAGCTTATTCCAACCATGAGAAGTCTCTAGTAATGGCTCAAGGGCTGGTTCACCTGGAACCCTGTCTTCCTGAGTGGCCCATCTTTAGGAACCAGAAAGCAAGGTCATGGAGATTTCAAGTTAAAGAGTTGGGAAGGGACACCGTCTGACTTGAGTCTGGAAGGTTCTAGCATTGTGTTTCTGGCTATGGAAGGTTCCAGGAAATCTCCCTCAGCAAGGTATGGATACCAATGGAAGGAGAACAGCACTGATGGTCTCTTGGACCATTATACATATCAGATTCTTGCAGAGGTGGTTGACCCATAGACCCCGTAGGGGACCTCAGGATTTGTGCACATACTAAGGTCCCAGATGCCACAGGTCTCCTACTGGCCTGTGGCCTCTCTCCCTGCCCTATTGTAAACAGTGACAGCCTAGAACAAAGAGGTTAAAGGCTGTTGCCAGAGGTTGTTTTCTCCTCTAAAGTATATTCATATCCAACACATGTGATGAAAATCCCCTAGAGAACCTGCTGAACAGCCAGTGGTCCCTCCTCTACTTGTGCCTATTCTCTTGGCCACTGACCATCTAACATCATAGTGAAACCAGTAGTGGAAAAGATGACCAGAATGGTTTCCTAATGTCAATCAACCTGCCCTTGCACCAATACAGAATGAATCCAGTGTCAGCCTGCAGGATGCAAACTTTCCTCATAACAGATAATCACTTGCTAACATTCCACATCTGGCGGTCAACCCAACCTTATCCTAAAAATCTAGCTAGTGGCAACTTCATTTCTATACATGAGGCATCTATCAGGCACTTCCCACTTGCAAAACATCGGCCTACATACAAACACGAGGTGGGTCCCACAGCTCTGTTGGACAGGACACATTAATGACCTGACACCCAGTAAATTTGTAGTTCCTCTCCCCAAAGAGAAGCCTATTTCTCCATCCCTTTGAATAGGACCTGACCAATAAAACTGGAGAGCTGGAGAGAAGTGTGTACTGGCTAGGGGTCTGGCCTGGAGCAACTCAGCATGTTTCCACTTGCTCTCTTTGGACCTTGGCCATCGCCACAAGAGGGGCATGCCTGGGCTGGCCTACCAAAGGATGAGGCACACAGAGTACAGGACAACCTTCTCTGTTTTCTACAGCTGAGACCAGTAAGATCGGTAAACTTCTCCCTAAGTACCCTAGACAGCAGCTACTGTCTGCCACTGAGGTTCTGCAGTTCGTCACACAGCATTCCTGTGGCACTACATAAGGCATACATAATCCCTGTTCTAATAAATAGCTGAAAAAGAACACCTCACATTAGGAAGATAAACTTTTAAATAACACCAAAGAGCAAACAAAGGCAGGAGAAAAGGCAGAAGGGGAATGTTGAACGGAGGGTCAAGTATTAAACCATCAGGTTCCACAGTGTAATGGAGCCTTTCAGATGGACATGGGGATTAGGGTGTGTGAGG